CCCTTTTGCATCCATCCATTCTGCTGGGCAGGTAGAATCCTTAGAAACAGATTTTTCGGAACAGGAAATATGGGCAGCAGTTAAAGATTGTGACGGGAACAAGGCCCCGGGACCGGATGGCTTCAGTCTGACTTGTTTTCAGAAATGCTGGAAGATAATGAAGGGTGAAGTCCTTCAATTTATGGCTGAGTTTCACTCTCAGGGGAAGATCGTCTCAGGTCTTAATAGCTCTTTCATCACTCTCATTCCTAAACGGGAGGAACCTTGTGAGTTAAGTGACTTTAGACCCATTAGTCTCGTTAACTCAGTTTACAAAATTCTTGCAAAAGTGCTATCAAAAAGGTTGAAAAGAGTGCTGCCAGAAATTATTAGTGAAGCTCAAACAGCTTTTTTGGGTGGTAGATCTATTCTTGATGGTGTTTTGATCGCGAATGAAGTAGTACATTGGTGGAAAGCTGCAAAAATGAGAGGCATCATTCTAAAGTTAGATTTCGAAAAGGCATATGATTCAGTTAATTGGGAGTTTCTACTTTCTATGATGAGGAATTTCGGCTTTGGGGAGAAATGGTTGGGTTGGATCAAATCATGCCTCTCATCATCCAGAGTATCTGTTTTGGTCAATGGATCTCCAACAAAAGAATTCGCTCCTCAGAGAGGGCTCAGGCAGGGAGATCCATTATCCCCTCTTTTGTTCAACATTGTAGCAGAAGGTTTGAACATTTTGATTGAAAGAGCAAAGGAGCTGGGGCTGGTTAAAGGAGCTTCTGTGGGGCCTACTGAGTTGAAATTCTCTCATCTGCAATTTGCTGATGATTCAATCATATTCTGTGAGGCGGTCCGAGGTGAATTGGTGCACATTAAGAGAATTTTGCGTTGCTTTGAGGTGCTTTCCGGCTTAAAGATCAACTTCCACAAAAGCTTGTTGTGTGGTGTAGGTGTACCTGATGGTGAGGTTAACCAGTTTACCTCCATTTTCAACTGCCGTAGTCAAAAACTCCCTTTTAATTATCTGGGTCTACCCCTAGGGGCTAATCCCAATAGGAAAAGTACATGGCAACCTGTAATTGAGAAAGTGAAAAAGAAGCTAGCTAATTGGAAGAGGAAATTTCTATCTTACGCTGGCCGTTTAACCTTGATCAGGTCAGTCCTCTCTTGTATGCCCATCTATTTTCTATCTATTTTCAAGATCCCTGTGGGAGTAGCTAAACAGATTGAGAAGATTCAGACAGCATTCTTATGGGGCAAATCTGAACTTAAGAGGAAAGTCCACTTGGTGAAATGGGCGGATTTAACAGTGGATAAGTCACAAGGGGGTCTGGGGCTTAGAAATCTACGAGAAGTCAACGCTTGCCTCTTGTTAAAATGGTGGTGGCGGTTTGGTGTGGAGGACAGAGCTATATGGAAACAAGTAGTGAGGTGCAAATATGGTCTGGGTGCTGGTGGCTGGGTACCTTCCATTCCAGAGACTAGTTCAGTGTCAAGAATTTGGTCTGATGTTGTTCATCTTGGGGCATCTAGTCCTGAACTGATGGAGTACTATTTATCCAATTTTAAAATTCTGGTAGGAAATGGGCATCATATTCTTTTTTGGGAGGATAAGTGGTTAAATAATCTATGCCTCAAGGCGGAATTTCCCAGATTATACAGGCTGTCCGTGGAAAAGGGTTGTTCACTTGTGCAGATGCATCATAATAGAGGGTCGGCACTCGAGTGGAAGTTTCTGTTTAGCAGAGTTCTGTTTGCTTGGGAGGAGGAGGAGGTCGCTAGGTTGCAAGAGGTTCTAAGGGGCACACTTGTTCTTACAGACCAAGCAGAGGATTCTTGTTTATGGATGGCAAATCCCTCAGGATCTTACTCCGCGGGTGTGTCTTGGAAGTGGTGGATGTTGTCAAAAGGTCCAGTCATAAGTGTTGCTGACATGTTGTGGAAGAACTCCGCTCCACCCAAGGTGAAATTCTGCAGCTGGTTAGCTTGGAAAGAAAGACTTAAAACTTCGGTGTTCCTGAAAAGGATTGGTGTGTTGAACTCGGAAGCGAACACAGTGTGCCTGCTGTGTAAAACAGAGGAGGAGTCTTTGAACCATTTGTTGTTGTCGTGTCCTGTGGTTTGGAAACTATGGTCAGACATGGTTAAATGGTGGGATCTGGTTTGGGTGGTTCCAGGTACAGTCGAGGGATTGCTACATTGGTGGGCAGGCTATAAATTTAAGAAGGAGATCCAACCATTGTGGAAAGTTGTCCCTGTAGCAGTTGTGTGGTCAATCTGGAAAGCTAGGAACGATTGTCTTTTTCACCAAAAGAGTGTTGAAGGGTTTGATTTGGCTGAGTTGGTTAAAGTGAGGATAGCTTTTTGGTGCAAGCATAGCCGTGGAGGTTTGCAATACTCCGTGGAGGACATTGTTTTTAATCTCGACAGTATCAAAGTCTGATAGGGGTTTTGCAGGTTTGCAAGTTTTGTGTGGTCTATTCTTGTTCGCAACTCTGTTTGCAACTCTGTTTGTCTGTTCTGGGTTGCTGGTTTATCACTGTTGTAGTATTCTACATTACTGTGTTTTCTGGTTTATCTGTGTTGCTGCAACTGTGAAGTTTTTGTTCTGTCCTGAATTTGGGAGGATTGTATTTCAGTAGTTTGCAGGTCTCAGAAGGCTTGTTTCAGCAATTCTCAAATGACAGTCTTCATGTCATTTGATAGATAGCTCTGCTGCTGGCCCGGTTCTGATATGGTCTGCTCAGCTGTGGGATGATCTGGATTGGTTGCTGTTGAATGCCTATCTGATATAGTATACGGGTTTAATGTACATGGGTTGATTGTCAATGGGTTGAATGCCCATCAGGCTGTTGAATGCCTATCAGGCTTTTGTGGGAACATCTTTTATTTTTCTTTTCTTTTGTTGGTTCCTCACCAACAGGCGCTTGGAGCTTCGTGTTAGCTCTAAGCTCCTCTTTATTGATGTTTCTAATCATACTGTGTATGTTTCATCAATAAAGATTTATTTGCCGATCAAAAAAAAAAAAAAGTCTGTAAGTCCAGTTCTGCTCAGAGGAGAAGATCACTGCAATTGAAATATTGCAACCAGTAGAGAAAACTCCTTTTCAACAATCAAATTTATAATGTGCTGATCAAATAGCTAAGATCATCCTCTCAATCGGATTCGATCTGGTATTATTTAATTGTGTGGTGTTTGGATCTTGGATTTTGTCATAAAAGGGAAGAGATTGTGAAAAAAAATATAGCTTTTATCTCATTCACTTTTCGCTTCTCAAATCCAAGATCTATGTACAACCTTGGTGTCTCTGCTGATTGTCACCTTTTGCATCTCCAATCAGTTGTACTTTATTTATGAGGTCAGTATCTTCCAGGGTTCTGTTGGCCTCATAGCTCTTACCAAATACCTCTTCATTTTGTATTTGTTTTTTATGTGTTTGAAATTAGATTTTTCTACTGCAATTTTATTGTATAGTAGCTTGGATATTAAATTTTAATTCCTATATATTATTCAATCATAGGTATGGATACACAACAAGATGGTTACTTTACCAATCTTTTACAAGAAAGGCCCAACATTGATGAACATTATCTAATGGAATCTCAATATTTGAATCAAAGCACTCAAGTCTTCGCCCAAGAGTCTCAATTTACTACTGAAATTGAATCTTTGTCGAAGAAACCTCAACGTGGAGGAAACTTCACAATTGAAGAAGACAAACTCCTTGTATCAGCTTAGCTTAATATTAGTTTAGATGTATTTAATTATGTATTATATTTAATAAAATTCAATAAAATTTAAATGTCTCAATTTAAAAATAAAATAATTTTATTTAACTTTTTATTAATGTTTTATTTATTTAATTTTTTAAAATAATTTTTTATAGATATTTTATTGATGTTTTATTTTAAAATTTTGTTTATGTTTTATTTAATTTCATTGTTTAAATTTAATAGATGTTTTAATAGATGTTTTATTTAAACAATTAAATGTTTAATTTCAACAATAAATAATTTCATTTATTTAAATTATGTTTTATTTAAACATTTAAACATTTGTACATCAACATGTTTATTAAATTATTTCAACATCTGTACATCAACATGTATATTTATTTAACATCTATTAAATTTTGTTTTAATACGTCAACATTTGATTGCATCTACATTTGTTAATTGTTAATTACAATCCCATTTGTTAATTGTTTAAACATAATTTGTACATCAACATTTATTTAATTGTTAATTGTTAATTGTTAATTGTTACATCAACATTTGTTAATTGTTTAAACATAATCTGTACATCAAAATAATTTCAATGTTAATTGTTTAAATAAAAATTTAAACATTTAACCATTTGTATGTTTAATTTCAACAATAAATTTTTATTTGTTTAAATAAAAATAATTTGTACCAGTCAAATTTTTTTTATCAATATTAGTATGTTTAAATATCTTTAAACAAAATTTAACCATTAGTATGTTTAATGTTTACTAAAATAATTAAAATATTAAAGATATGTTTAATATTGCTATTACTTAGTAAACAATTGAAAAAGGGTAAAATAGTCTTTTGTTCATTTATCCTATCCAGTCCGTCCAACCAAACGTTGGATTCACTGAAAATAGTCCTATCCAGACATCTAATCCCATGAAAAAACAAACACAGGATACATATCCAATCCGACCAAATAGTCCGGGAGATTCACAATCCCAGAACTCAAGTCCGATGAATTCTAATCCCTCTTTTCCAGTCCGTCCAATCAAACACACCCTAAATGCTTTGGTTGACTCTCTCTCTCTCACTCGGAGACTTCTTCCTTGATCATACACTGCCGTGCCTTGGGCTCCACAAAAACTCCAAGGAAAGCGTCAAATTTGTAGAAAATCATACTCCAAAGAAAGAGTCAAATTTGTAGAAAATGAGAGCTACTCTAACTGTTATTTTGAGAAGATGGTTAAAATTCATTTTTGAACTTTTAACTCATTTTGTATCATATTATCTCTTATATATTTTTTATGTTTTTTTATTATAAAAAAGCTAAAATTAGCTTTTAATCATATTTCTAAAACAACCCTAAGGCACTCTGACCTTACACAATGAATCATATTTTTATCGTCGTGAGGATAGTGGTTAAAAGGTCGTCCTGAAAAGTCAAAATAAGATTTTTAGTGACAAAATTTTAAAAATATCACTAATAAATACACTTTCAAGGACAAAATAATTTGGTCCCAATAAAATAAAAATTTATCACTAATATCCAATTTTCGTTACTAAAAATATAATAATGACACTTTTTGTGATAAAAATATTTAGTCTTTAAAAAATAATTTTATTCCTAAATTTTAGTCTCTGAACATTATTATTATTTTTTTGGTTGGTAGTGATCCTAAAGGCCACGAATCTTCTTCCTTGATCATACATTGCCTTGTCTTGGGCTCCATAAAAAAAAACACCAACGGAAGAGTCAAATTTGTAGAAAACGTGAGCAACTCGAATTGCTATTTTGGAAAGGTAGTTAAAAGCTATAGTTTACATGTTTTTTTTTTTTTTTAAAAAAAAGGACTAAAGAATCAATTTTTAATTATCTTTGTTAGGTTTTATTATTGACAATCCCGTTTGACAAGGATTTCTTTAAGTAGTTGATTTTATTCCAAAACTAGGATTACTTTTGGATTTCTATAAATAATTGGATTTCTTCCAAAACTATGATTACTTTTGGATTTTCTATAAATAGTTGGTTTTCTCCCAAAACTATTGAATTCCTCTAGATCTTCTTTTTGGTTCTTAAGGTTTATATCTGGGGATATTTTGTTAGTTTTCTTTGATATTTTATTGAGTATTCAACACATGGTTTAAAGAGAGTACATCAAAGGTTTTGTTTGTTATACACATGAGAGAGAGAAAAAGTTATTCTTCGGTGGATTCTGAAGAATTCGAGCCTGAAGCTTTGGTGGATTCTGGAATGGCTCATCGTAAAGACAATTCCGAGGTGAAGACGGGGTTGGAAGAGGCACATAAAGGTTGGTTCAATTAGGCGTGGATTCGCTAGGTAATTGAGAGTATATCTGTGTAATTCCTTTAAATCTTCTTAGTGGATTGTTTTGTGGCTGTTGCCCGTGGTTTTTTAATCACAGTTGAAGGTGTCCAATTGTGGTTTTTTCACGTTAAAATCGTTGTGTTGATTTGTCTTGATTGTTTGATTGGGATTGTTATATACTGTATAAAATTGTTACATAATCACAAATCAATATCTAGAGGATTTCTAGATTTTTCAATTGGTATCAGAGTAGGTCGTTCTATTTTTTTTTAAAAAAAATTCTTTTAGAACGAGATCTTATTTGATTTGTGATAATGGATTCAATTCGTGAGGGAAATTCTATGGTTCGACCACCTCTACTTGACGAATCTTCGGAGAGTGACGTTGAAGAGCTTGAGCAAGCTTATGAAAAGTTGTATAAGAAGTCTCTTAACTTATTCAAATTAAATAACAAACTCACAAAGAAACTCAAAGCATGTGAAAGTGAGAACGTCAAACTTAAGGAGGAGATTTCCGAGGCTAGGATTGATGCCATCAAGATAGCTAATGATCGACAAGCTCTTTGTGCAAAACTCTTGACTTGTGAGACAGAGAGGAACGAGCTATAACAGATCTATGTTTTTCACATAATGCATCACTTTCTTTCATGAGGAATCTTCTACAGACTGCGCACATTGTGTTTTCTTGTAATGGTGCTTCTTGGATAGTCTTGTGTGTTTTAAGGTACTAATCCAAAATTTCTAGATTGCTCCACCATATTATTTTTGTCGTTTTCTTCTTATTCATTGTTTTCAGTGTTTGTGGTTGCTTTTAGTGAGGGGGAGTTTGGTTCATCTTGACTTGGGTTGGTTTATGATCTTGCTTTTGTTGTTAGTTTATGATCTTGCTTTTGTTGTTGGTTTATGATCTTGCTTTTGTTGTTTGAGAGTTGTTTTTCATGAGTCTTAGTTTTCATTTATTCATGTTTTCCATCTCATGTTTCAAGATAATCTTGTCCTATGTTTATTGTTTTTTCTTATACTTTTGTGTGACTAATAGTTGTTTTGGAGATTGTGGCCCCCGTCTTCACCTCGGAATTGTCTTTACGATGAGCCATTCTAGAATCCGCGAAGCTTCAGGCTCGAATTCTTCAGAATCCACCGAAAGAACAACTTTCTCTCTCTCTCTCTCTTGTTATAACAAACAAAACCTTTGATGTACTCTCTTTAAACCATGAGTTGAATACTCAATAAAATATCAAAGAAAACTAGCAAAATATCCGCAGATATAAACCTTAAGAACCAAAAAGAAGATCTAGAGGAAATTCAATAGTTTTGGGAGAAAACCAACTATTTATAGAAAATTCAAAAGTAATCATAGTTTTGGGAAGAAATCCAATTATTTTATAGAAATCCAAAAGTAATCATAGTTTTGGAAGAAAAATCAACTTCTTAAAGAAATACTTGTTAAACGGATATACAAAAATAAAAAACCTAACAATCTCCCCTTGGCAACGCCGTGACAAACACATCTAGCAAATAAAATCCCTAAGCACTCTAACCCATTACAGCCAACAAAAACCAAACTTCTTTCTCAAGGTCATGATCTGCAAAACAGCTATTAGT